TAAATACATCTGTGCATTGACAGAGTTGGTGAGCGCTGGTGCTACCAGAGCCCAAACATTTTTCCCCGATGGTGTGTTCCTGCAGTGTGGCAGCACAGATCTTTAGTGACTGAGACTTTTATTTGGACTAGTTGTGGGGTTTTGGGTTTTTTTTTGAATACAAGGATCAAACTTAAAAAAAATATCACCTCAGAACAAGGCACCACGGTTACTGAATTGCCCCAGGGGAACAGGACCTCCTCATGGCTCTCATCTTCACCTGGCCATAGGAAAAAGGATATTGAGGTTATTTCAAAGAATGGCTGAGGTTAGCAGGGACCTCTTGAAATCGCCCAGTCCAGCCCTCCTGCTTATGCAGGGTCAGCTAGAGCAGATTGCCCAGGACCATGTCCAGTTGGGTTTTCAGTATCTCCAAGGACGGAGACTTCACAGTTTCTCTGGGCAACCTGTGCCGGTGTTTGACCACCATCACCGTAAAATAGCGTTTCCAAGCAAAGCCTTTCTTAACATGATGCTCACAAGGTTGCTGGGGGCTAAATGCTTTTGTCTCTTCTTCTACACATCAAGGCAGAAAGCATCAGTGACGGAGCTGACATTTTAGGTGTTTAATAAAAAATTCTTCTATCCCTGTGGGAAAGGTTCTTGCATTTCAGACCAACTTAGAGCAGCATTTGCTGCTTGGCTTGTGTTGTTCATTTGCTTTGGTCTCCTGCAGTCCCAGAGGCACTGTGCTATAGCTTCAGGACCATAACAGATCTCGGACACGTTTGTTCTGTTTTATAAGTGAGCACTGCAAGAGAAACAGTGCTAGATTTCCCCCTGCAAAGCAGATAGCTCAGATAATATAGAAAGTATTTATTCTGTTTCTCTGTGCACTGTCTCTCTCTGCTGGAGAGCACCTCTGTCCTACAGACAGGCATTTCATCAATTTTCTTCTTTTTGTTAACACCAAATCACTATCCAAGGGGGTTTGCATGAGGAAGTGCATCTCTGAGGAGTCATTTCTCCCTTTTGCAGCCATAGCTGATGTGCTAAGAGGATCCCATCAGGAGTTCACGTCAAGTGGTTTTTGCCTTCAGAAGGTTTGCAGTGAAAAAGCCAGGTTGGCCTCCGGCTTTCTCGATTATATGCTCGGAGAACGCTTCTACCCACAGTAACTGGTTGACGAAGGGTTCATGTAAAAGTAGGATGCGCTGAGCTTTCTTGCAAGTATTTCAAATACTTCAGTGTGAGGATGCTGACAACCAGTCCATCTATTGGTAAAAACACAGAATTGCTACTTGAGCTCTTTCAGAGTTAGCCACAGTTACTCACCGTAGTGCTGCGTAACTGGTATGTGGCTTGGCCTCAGTAAAAGACCTTTTTTGTCATTGCTAGGCTTTTGCTATGAGATTATTGCTAATTTTTGGTGAGTCTGGAAGGACAAAGGATATATACAGGTAGGAGTTCTTTGGCCTCTTGGTTTCTAGCCTGGCTGGATGTAGCTTATTGCACACAGGCAGCAGCACCACATAATTCTAACAAAAATTTCGGTGTGAAACCGGAACAAAAACGCATCTGCGTTTCCCGCTGTTTGAGCCTTACATGACTGAGCATCACTTTCATGGGCAGTGATATACTTGTGAAGTCTGCTGGTCTGCAATTATACTTCCAAGCTTTTCCTTGTCTGACCACCTCAAGGGCATTCCCATGATTGTTTTTGTTACTGCTGTGATAGTGCCGGATGCTCTGAGGGCTTTTGCTCATCAAGCTAAGCGGGGACGGACCTTGCTGCAATGTATGTGGCATCGCTTCCCTGGATTTCACCCTGGCATGGTGGGAAGGGAGGGACAGGCAGGCTGTGTTGGAATTAGTTCTCTGCTGACTGCCCGGGGCAACGTTGGGTGCAAGGATGTCTCTCCTCCCTTGCCTTCTACACCCGCTGGGGCGAGTGATTTGGCTGGTACAGGCTCATTAAAATAACACCCCACAGCCCTAATCACAGGACTGACCTGCGCATCCCAGACCCACTCCCTGTGATTTCCATTAGCAGCCATCCTCCGAGAGGTCTTGCGGCTAAATCAGCCGCTGAGCCTCTGGAAAGTGATTTGATGAAAGCATTTTATAGAAATCGAATGAAATGTCAGCTGGATGCCAGCAGCAGGGCTTGCTGTCATGATTAATGAGATATTTAGGCATTTCATTTTGGAGGAGCTACCTGCAACACAATTCACACCGAAGCTATTTTTTTCAGATGGGCTTTAATAAATTAACGTTAATGTTGGTTATTTAATTATTCATTACAAATTGGTTGCAACAATGGCAGGGTTACTTTTGGATTGAACACATTATCAAGCCTTTCAGAAAGCTCACATGCAAAAAAGGGTTGTGTTCAGAGCATTGCACATTACTTTTCTGATACAAAATGATGTAAAAGAGGAGGAAGGGTTGAAATAACCTGTAATTTGTTGAATGCAAAGACTGCTTGAATATAAAGCTTTTGAAGCTGATATATATATGAGCATCCATCCAAATAACAGGATATATCTTACTGCTAATAGAAGTAGTGAAATCTAATAAATTAAATTAACACCTTACCTCTCTGTTTTCTGGGCGCCTCTGTTTTTAAGGGAACAGGGATAGTAAAGGTATTATAGGAACAGAGAGAAATAGCATTAAACCTTTTCAAACCTCTTTTAACTACCAGTTGGAAGTTTTACAGTCACTTAACCCTGTGCGTGATTAAAGCTAAGGTTATTTCTGCATCAAGTCTGGCTCCTGCATTAAGCGGGCTCTCCCCAGGGGAGTCGGAGGCAGCGGCTGGCGAGGCAGGGGCTGCTTTTGGACAGGGACAGGAGTTCTTACAGAGCACCCGGGCATCATGAAGCAAATGAGTTCACCAAAGGATGGAACCTGATGGCACCTCTGTGCCCAAGGACTGAAACATAATGTTACAAGTTCTGCTCTTAAAAAAGGACCACGGTCAATCCATTCTTTGCTCTAAGGCACTGTTTTCTGCCAATTGACTGCAGCAGAGTAGAATATTGTGGTTTCTGCCCTCGGCACTGCAAGGATGAATATCTGGAGCAGGGGAGATTCAGAGATGGAAAGGCAGCAGGAGCAGCTGGGTGTTAGTGGTTTAACTGGAAGGCAGCCCAGTGCTTTCCTAAGGATGATGCTGGCAGGGACCGGGAGCTGTTGCATCCCTGCATGTTGGGACCAAGCAGAGGTGTGTCAGGGACCCAGAGAAAACTCTGCAATATAATGGACAAAAATAAAGCTTTGGAGCTTTAATAATGGCAGTTTTTCTAGAAAACAGAAGTGCTAATGATAACACTTTTTTTTTTCTGTTAAGCCCGATGCATTGAACTGATGAGCAGCTGGCTGGTTTTTGTCTCCCAAGCATTAAGCCACAGAGCAGGATGTGGATTTTTTACATTGCTGAGGCGATGCAGAGACTAAGTGGAATACAAATAAAACAAGCTTAAATTCAGCTGTTGAAAATCTCTCTGCTGTAGAGCAACTTATTTTTTGCTGACCTTTAACTTTTTTTTTTTTTTTTTTTTTTTAGGTTCTTATGCATGCCTGAGATTTTTACTCTCTGGGAAGTGCTTAGCCCCTATTACATTTTTCCTGGTCTCTGCACACTTTGCTCAGCTCTTGCAGTTTCCGAGTAGCCGTGTGGTGTTGGCCTGTTGCTAATCTGCCTTCTGCTCCAGCTGGGAGCGAGCCTAGCAGGGGCATAACAGGCTGGGCAGAGAAATGTAATTTATGCTGGACCAGTCACAGGGATTTGGATGTGACTTTGTGCAAAGCTTGCGAATAAACTTCTTGAGTCTGGGGAAGGAGATGCAGCTCAACCTCTTGCTTAGCAACTTGGTTTGGTATTGCTGGGAAACCGTGAAAGGCTGAAAGGGATAAAAGCCAAAAATATATCATGGGTTTGGGTTTTTTTCTGTTGTTTCTTAAGTGCAGATTGACCGTCTTTCATTTTGCTGAAGGAGCTTTCCTGTTGCTGGGCAGTCTCACCTGCGTGGTCACCTGTACGTTGTGGGCACTGTCAAGGGAGGGGACAAACCCAGCCCCTCCTGGAATCCTGATAAAATCCTAAAGTTAAAATGCCCTTTTGCCCACGTTGGGGAATATTGAACTTACTGAATAAGCTTATATAAAAGTATAAACCCCAATAAACCTGAAAGGAGTTGCTTTACCAAACATTTTGCTTTAAAAAGCCCTTTTCTTTGCTTGTCTGGGAGGGCAGAGGATTGTGATCTGCTGGAAAGAATGAAGTCCCTTGTGCCGGTGCTGCTGTGGCAGCAACCCATTTGCTCATGCTGCCTCCACGGTTGAGAAAAAAAGAGAGAGAATTCTTTTGGGGTGATGCTGTGGAGCATGGGCTGTGCTGAGCTTACCTTTGCTTTACCCTTCTGTGACCCCTGGGGTGCCACAAGCAGCACCGACCCAGCCCCACTGTGCTGGGGGGCTGCCCTGGGGCGAGGGGTGCAGGGTGGGAGGAGATGCTCCATAAGCCAAGGGGTTTCCGAGAGCATCTGGACAATGCAGACACGGCTGGCACGGAGCCTCCTGCCCTTCCTGCTCCTTGTTCACCCCCACTCACTTTCACTTTTGAATGGATGGATTTTACTTTTCATCGCCGCTGCTGTCTCTGCCCACTCTCGCTCGGTCATCGCAGCAGATCAGCTTGTTGGGGTGGGTCAAGAGTTAGAATCCAGACCTGGGCATTGCAAGCCATATGATAGAGGAGGGGGATTGTAGCAGAGAAATAAAATAATGAGGATTATTATTTCCCACATAATAATGATTAATAGTAAGGATTAATATTTCCCAAATAGTCCCTCCCAAACTACCTTCCCTTCTCCTTCCACAGCATACTAGTAACTGAGAGAGCCTAGAGGAAAGGAAAAGAGGCCAAATGAAATATTTTCGTAGTGAACTATAGCATTCTTTTTCTTCTCTTTCCCCCTTGCCCCAGGCAGGGTCTGTGTTTCCCCCAGGGCTCTGCCTGCGCCTGGCCCCTCTCTGCCAAGTAGGGCCGGAGCTCAGGTGGATGCTCTCTCGCTTTGCAGCCGCTGAACCCGGATCCAGAAGAGGATGGGGAAGCAGAACAGTAAGCTGCGTCCTGAAGTGCTCCAGGACCTGCGTGAGAACACCGAGTTCACAGACCACGAGCTGCAGGAGTGGTACAAGGGCTTCCTAAAAGATTGCCCGACGGGCCATTTGACTGTAGAAGAGTTCAAAAAAATATATGCGAATTTTTTCCCCTACGGCGACGCGTCAAAGTTTGCGGAGCACGTCTTCCGCACCTTCGACACCAACGGTGACGGGACGATTGACTTTAGGGAATTCATCATTGCCCTGAGCGTCACCTCTCGGGGCAAGCTGGAACAGAAGCTGAAGTGGGCGTTTAGTATGTACGACCTGGATGGCAACGGGTACATCAGCCGCGGGGAAATGCTAGAAATAGTGCAGGTGAGGCTTGTCTCTATTTTATATTTTATTCCCATTGTTGTAATCTCTTTACCCTGAGACAGCTGGAGGTGAGGGATGTGCTGAGCTGGGTCGCTCCTGCCCCAGGGAGGCTCCTGAGCCTGTGGTCCCCAAAGGGACACTGGGGACCACGATGGGACCTACGAGATGCACATGAGGAAAAGGCCTGAGACATGAACAGGGCACTTGTGCAACTGGCCCACAGCCAAAATCTTGCAGCTCTCCCTGGGGATTTCTTAATGGGGTGTTGATGGGATCAAAAAACCCTAAATGCAAATTTTACTGATCTGGTTGATCTCAGAATTAATACTTTGAAACTTCAAATACAAGTCAACGTGAGGTCTGAATGGAAGGCTGTAGCATGTCTTTGTCTCTGGAAGACTGGGGACATGTAACCCACTGGCTGTACGGGGGGCAGCGGGGGGCAGCATGTGGAGCAGAGCCCCTGTGCCCCTGCCCCACGTGCTGGCCGGGGCTCGGCCTCGGTGGTGGGCTGATTGCCATCCGCTGTACAGATGAGCTGTGTCTCCAGAGCACTGCAAGGGGCTGTGGGAAGCACGTAATGCATCCAGCCAGTGCCCCGGCCGTTGGTCCTCAGGGCTGAGTGGGGGTAGTTTAGGAGGAGGGCTAGAACTGCAGATATCCTAAAGAGGTCTCATCTTTATTCACATTCTTGTAAGTCTAAAAATGCATTTCCTTACCCATCCACAAAGGAAAACAACTCCTATTCCTATGTATTCTTATTCACCTGTGATCTGTACAACACCCCACATGCATACACGTAACTAAGTGTGTGTTGTGAGCCAGCCAAAGAGCTCATGGTTTAGCCCGGTTGCAGAAAAGAGAATTACACACCATTGTCTCCTGTATTTTAGCTCAATCCTGCTCGTACATTAATCTAGACCCTGACTTGCAGTTAAACTGACCCAGCGGTGCGGGAACGTCTTTTGAAGCACGAATGAATACAGGAAAGAAAAATAGAAAACGCTGCAGTCAGAAATTCCTATTTGTTTTGGTTTATAAACTCCCGCAGCTGCCTGCCAGGGTCAGCTGCCTTTTTTTATTGCTACAGGCTTAAATTCTTTTTCTCGGTCCTGATGCTTTGTCATTTGGGTCATGTTTTTCCTATACCTTTTTTTTTTCTTTTTAATACTCAGGCAATCTACAAAATGGTTTCATCAGTAATGAAAATGCCAGAAGATGAATCCACTCCCGAGAAGCGAACAGACAAGATCTTCAGACAGATGGACACAAACAATGATGGTAGGATCTCCACCGACACCCCTTCGTAGGCTCTAGAAATAGAGGTTTTTCTAGCCCAGCATTAGTAGAAGCAGATGATGGTATTTGGGGAGGAGGGGTAGAGGGCAAGGACATCCCCACCGGTGTGTCTGGTCTCCGCCTGGCCTGGGTGAGCATCTCCAGTCCATAACAAATAGGGAGAATAAGTGGGTGGTGGGTCAGAGACTTTTCCTGCTGGAGGGATGGGAGGAGAGCAGTCCTCTGACATGTCATGGGTGAATCCCCTTCTGCAAAGGCTCCTCTGAAACTCCTCTGAGTCCGGTATCTTTGGATTATTTCCTCTGGGTGTAGAACAAACTAGGCATGAGGTTTTGCTCCCATTGCTCTTGATAGGGTTGCACTCCTGGGCTTGTCATTGGTAATGCAGGTCAGGGATCTGCTTGGGTAGCTGAAAGCAAAAATTCCCCTGGGTGCCTAGTACTTATTTTCTGTGCACGTTTATGGCGTGTGTACATACACGCATGGTCACATGCAAACCTGCGGGGTTTACTCCGTTGCAGTATGTGCGTCAGGGGATGTAACAACTCCCAAGGCAATTTTGGAGCCACTTGATAAATTATCTGACAGCATACCCGTCACAACCCCTCCACCTGAGCTAGCTCATTTCCTTAGGCTCGAAAAACACAGGCAAAATTGAGCAATTTCCTCTGCCCATCAGCCTGCCGACGTGTTTCCTCCCATCCCAGCTGAGGTGGAGCTTTCCCTGGGAATTACCCCGGTAGCGGTTGAGGTGGCAGCTGCGCACGTCGAAATTAGGAGCTGTATCCTTCAGAGCAAAGATTTGGTTCTAGCACTGAGATATGGAGACCTGGAAAAAATATGATATTATGTATAGAGAGGTTTTTATTTAAGAAAATTTTATGGCTGCATTTTGGCATCTGCTGCTGCAGCCTCCGGAGCAAATTCTTGGCCTTGCTGAAGTCTTTGTGTATTTTTACCTTTGACTTCATCAAAACTAGCGCTTCATCCCCTGACTTCACATGTGAAGGGCCCTAAAATAACGAGTAAAGTATTTTTGTTCTGCGGAAAGTAGTGGTGCATGCAGATGTGCAACAGAGTAGTGATCACAAAACCTGCTATATACATCCTCCATCTGTTGCACTTTGTTGCTGAAGTCAGGTCATCCCATTCCCAGTAAAATGCCAGCCCTGCAAGCCATGCAGTGCCAAGCAATAAAGTCTGCGCACGGGGAAGCACGTGTGCTCTTGGTGGCTGGAAATGTTTCTTCTTCCCCATCTGACTGTTGGACATTGCAAATAGATTTTGATTTGTGCTTTGCTTTTAAGTATTGCAAGGAGAACGGAAAACTAATAAATGTCCTGGTAGTTATGAATACTCTTTTTCACACTGATAAAAACTTAAGAAAACACTTTGTTTGGGAACATTAGCTTAAAAGACAGAAATTAGGACAGAAGTGTGCCATAGGTTTTTGAGCTTCTGTAATTTCTACAAGGTTTGCTCATTCCTCCCTGTTTCACCTGATTTGGGTGTTGGCCACCGAGCTCAGTCCTTTCGCCATCCCTGCAGCAGGCTGGGAGCATCCTGGGGCTGGGGAAAACCGGCGCGATGAGCTCGTGCCTTCCTCCCTTTTTGGGACACGTGGCCAAAAGTGGCAGCAGGCAGCTGCCGAGTGCGAGGTGTTGGTTCGTGGGTCCTGCCTGTCTCGAGCGGAGCAGTTTGGGTTGGGTAAGGGGGGCCCTGGGGTGTTGGGTGAGGGTCAGGGTGGGTCATGCTGGGAGCACGAGGGTCCGTCCAAGTCAATGCCTCTGGCCTAAACCAAAGATGTATAAACCAGAAACGCTCAGGAGCGACACGTGGCAATAGGTGGCTCCCCCAAGGCTGGCTTTTCTTGCTGCCCTGTTAAACCGGTCCCGTTCCTGTACACCCCGCAGGGCACAGCAAGTGGCTTGTAGAATCACAGAACCATAGAATAGTTTGGGTTGGAAGGGACCTTTAAAGGTCACCTAGTCCGACCCCTTCTGCAATGAGCAGGGACATCTTCAACTCAAGCAGGTCGCTCAGAGCCCTGTCCAGCCTGTCCTTGTAGGTGCAGGAGAAGCCATCACTGCTCAGCCCTACATGTCACAACAAACAAAGGGGGCAAAGTGGGGAGATTTGGAATATTTAGGTTTAAAATGTCGTGGTAATATAAGCATCATTTTCAAAGTGTACGTGTCTTTAGGTACCATACCTTGTGTTCATGTGACATGTAATTTGTGCAGTCTGGTTCAGAGTATAAGGCTGCCAGATGATATTAGACCAGTTGTTTTTCTATTTGGTACTGTCTTTTTAAATAAAAAAATATCAATTATTATGCTAGATTGTTTTGTAGAAGAAAAATGCATCTGGGCTTAAGGGCTTGAGTAGGATTTAGCTGCTGTGCATTGTGCTAAATTCCCCTCGATGCCTTTGCGATAGATTAAATATACATATGTTGCTTTGGTGAGGAGGGTTTTTTTTTAAGCTACAGCGATGGTGGCAGCAACAACTGTCTTTTAAAAAATTATTTCCATTTTGATTTTCCTCCCTTTCAGGTAAACTCTCGCTGGAAGAGTTCATCAAAGGTGCCAAGAGCGATCCCTCCATCGTGCGGTTGTTACAGTGCGACCCCAGTAGCGCGAGTCAATTCTGATTAAAGCGGACAGTGTGCACAGAGAATCTCGGCTTGTGTCCTTCAAGCTTTGCTCGCAAACAGATGCCTTCTCAACCATCCCTCGACACTTTGCGGATAAGATCGCATTGCCAGATTGTGTGTGTGTGTGTGTCCGAGCGAACCAGCCCTCGCTCTCCTCACTAACACCAGTGCAGCTCTCCTTCGGCAGCTCCGTTTCTGCTTCCCCGTAATGTTATGATTCACTCTACACATTTTAAACATTAATCGAAAGGTATGTTTACATGCAGCTACAAAAGAGTTCAAATCACTGGTGAGATACCACTTCACTTAGTCTATAAGAAAGGTAATGTTCTAGTAGTTGCTGAGAAGATGCTAGGTAGGACTTTTACCCGACATAGCAGATGGTAGATAATTTATTTTGCTTCAGAAATTACTATGTAAAAAAAAAA